TTTTTTTTTAAATCAATCTTTTTTGTTCATATTATTACAAAGGTTCCTCTTTTCTTCCCCCCTCCACCAGGTTCCCACCCCACTCTCTTCCCCCTCCCCACCCCCACTGTCCTCATCCATAGGTGCACAGTTTATGTTCAGTTTCTTCCTCCCTCCACCACTCCCCCTTTCCCCGAAAACAGTCAGTCCATATCACCGACTCTACTACAATCAACAGCTAATATTGTTCATCAGGTTTTTCAATCGCCTTTTTGTTGTTGTTGTTGTTGTTGTTGTTTTAATTAATAAACTTTTACACTTCTAAGAATAAATTTTAAAATCTAATAATTTTAAACCTCGTTTTTTTTTCTGCCCTGGGAATTGAGAAGCAAACTTGTTTACATGTAAACTTGCCCTTAGGCTATAAAAAAGTGTAGCCATTCAAGTGTAAATGGACACATTGTTTAAAGATAGCTGCTGGTTGGAATTGGATTATCTGTTCTGGGTGGGAAGGGCTTGTCTTCCCCTTTCTCCATTAAAATTAAGATGTTAGCTTTAAAACCTCTTTTTGGCAAGAGACCTTAAACTTTCAGAACTTTAAATTTTTCAGATAGTAAATCAGTTACTTAGCATTTTCTCAAATCAATAATACCTCCACTGCCCAAGGATACACTTCACACAAAAGACATTTCCAAATAGGTCAACTAGCCTCATCCAGGCCCCACCCAAGGCATTCACAGAACAACACCCCAGCCCTATACTAACTCAACACATCCAGATCTAAGCCTTCATCACTTGATTCAGCAGACCCTCAAGTTCCCACGAAAGTTTCCAGCCATGTCTGAGGGGCAGCCTTGGGGCAGAGGCAGGCAAGGAGCGAGCTGTTCCGGGCCTGGCTGCTCAGGGCCTGGCCTCTGTTGCTCTGGTCCGTTCCACAACCAGCTGCTCCAGGTCTGCCCACTGCCGCTCCCGGCCTGGCTGCTGCTGCTCCGGGCCTGGCCGCACCTGACCCGGCTGCTCTGGGCCCAGCCACTTCGGGCCTGGATGCTCCTGACCTGGCTGCTCTAGGCTTGGTTGCTGCTGCTCTGGGCCTAGCTGCTCCTGACCCGAATGCTCCGGGCCCGGCCGCTCTGGGCCTGGCCACTCCTGTCCTGGCAGCTGCTGCTCCGGGCCTGGCAGCACCTGACCCGGCTGCTCTGGGCCCGGCTGCTCCGGGCCTGGCTGCTCCCAACCCAGCTACTTTGGGCCCCGGCTGCTCTGGGCCTGGCTGCTCCTGACCTGGCTGCTCCCTGCCTGGCTGTTGGTGTTCTGGGCCTGGTCGCTCCCAACCCGGCTGCCCATTTTTAATTTTTTGAGGAAACTCCATACTATTTTCCATAGTTTTGAAGTGTGAAATGCTACCTCATTGTTGTTAGTTTTTTTAAAATATATTTTATTGATTTTTCACAGAGAGGAAGGGAGAGGGATAGAGAGTTAGAAACATCAATGAGAGAGAAACATTGATCAGCTGCCTCCTGCACACCCCCTACTGGGGATGCGCCCACAACCAAGGTACATGCCCTTAACTGGAATGGAACCTGAGACCTCTCAGTCCGCAGGCAGACACTCTACCCACTGAGCCAAACTGGTTCTGGCTATACTTATGTCTTCAAACCGGTTCTGGCTATACTTATGTCTCTTGTAAAGGTCAGTCAGAGTAGCTGGTCAGACCAGGTACGGTGGGGGCCAGGTGTAGGCAGTCCACTAGAAACTGGATGAGGCAGTTTACTGGAAACTGAAGGCTGTTAATCATGAAACCTATAATGAGAATAACAGGAAAATCTCCGGGAGGACTCCAAACAGGGCATAATGGAGCACCAGAATGTATCTAACAATGATATGAGGACTATATTATGATAATTCATATAAAGAGATTAGCATAGTGCCTGGCACAAAGTAAGTGCTCAGTAAATGTTCATTGCTATGTATGAATGATAAACTCAACCACATAAAGGTTTAAGAGAAATCTGGCTCTGCACAAAGACAACAAGCTTTTGCGGGGAGAGGGGTCTGGGAAACATTGGTGGCAGCTCAGTTGCCGATTTCACATTACTTACCTTGGGAGGGGGGTTGAGGGTGAGAGTATGTGCCTTTAAGATGAGGTAAATGGGGACCAGGAAACTTACAAAATCAGTCAATCAATCAATCAATCAATCTGAACCAGGCCTGGTAGCTCTGTGGCTTAGAGCATCATTCAGATATGCCGAGGTTGCTGTGTAATCCCCAGTCAGGGCACATCCATGAATGCCTAGATAAGTGGAACCAGGTTCTAAAAATGGCGAATCAGCCCTAATTGGTTTGGCTCAGTGGATACAGCGTCTGCCTTTGGACTGAAGGGTCCCAGGTTCAATTCTGGTCAAGGGCATGTACCTTGATTGCAGGCACATTCCCAGTAGGGAGTATGCAGGAGGCGGCTGATTGATGTTTCTCTCTCATTGATGTTTCTAACTCTCTATCCCTCTCCCTTCCTCTCTGTAAAAAAAAAAAAATCAATAAAATATATTTTTTAAAAATGGTGAACTGCAGGGTGAAGGATCCCCACAGCATCCACTGCACCAACCTTTAATATCTGGGGGAGGACATCATTCTTTTTTTTTTTTTAAATATATTTTATTGATTTTTTACAGAGAGGAAGAGAGAGGGATAGAGAGTCAGAAATGTCGATGAGAGAGAAACATTGACCAGCTGCCTCTTGCACACCCCCTACCAGGGATGTGCCCGCAACCAATGTACATGTCTTTGACCAGAATCAAACCTGGGACCTTTCAGTCTGCAGACCGACGCTCTACCCCTGAGCCAAATGGGCTTCGGCGGGAGGACATCATTCTTTTTTTTTTTTTTTTTTTTTTTTTTTGGAGAGAGAGGGAGAGAGAGGGAGAGAGAGGGGAAGAGAGAGAGAGAGAGAGAGAGAGAGAGAGAGAGAGAGAGAGAGAGAGAGAAGGAGAGAGAGCAGGAGGACATCATTCTGACTGGAATCTATGAGTCCAAGGATTTGAAAGAGGAGTGCTTTGGGTTGACGGCTGAACTTGCAGTTGATAAAGCCATAGAGTTAAAGTTTGTGGGTGGCGTGTATGGGGGCAACATAACGTCAACTCCCTTTCTGTGTTTGACCTTGAAGTTGCTGCAGATTCAACTGGAGAAGAATATCATTGTTGAGTTTATAAAAAATGAAGGCCTCAAATACATTTGCATGTTGGGAGCACTTTACATGAGGCTGGCAGGCACTGCAACTGATTGCTACGAGTTCATGGAGCGTCTGTACAATGGCTATATGAAAGTTAAGAGCCAGAACCGAAATGGGGATTTTGAGCTGATGCACGTAGATGAATTCATTGATGAACTGCTGCGCTGTGGGAGAGTCTATGACATCATTCTGCCCGGCTACAGAAACGCTATGTGCTAGAGAAAGCCGAGCAATTGGAGCCTCAGGTTAGTGCTCTAGGAGAGGACATGGATGATGTCCAGTCCCGTGAAGAGGATGAGAAGTTGCAGAGGATAGTACCATCACCGACCACCGCTGGAGAAGCTTCGATGACTAGGCCTGTTGCCCACACAGCGCTACTGGAGAAATAGGAGCGGGTCTCCCTGAAGGAGGAGTAGGTCTCCCAAGAGGAGGAGCACTTCCCCTCACTGCCTACCGAGAGAGGCATCAGAGCAGGAGTCCAAGACCTCACAGAGCTCCTCAGTTACAGACGCAGGGGCCACTCAAAGTCTCCAAAACATCTAAGAAGAACCACAAGGAGAGCCAGAGGAAAGGTATAATGGACTCAGATTGGGTTTAGTCCAAACGGCCTGCAATATGAAATCACCTCATTGTGGAAAGATTAAGATCTACTCCCGAGGCAGCTATAAGAATATTTTAGGGTTTTTAAAAAATATATTTTTATTGATTTCAGAGAGGAAGAGAGAGATAGAAACATCAGTGGTGAGAGAGAATCATTGATTGGCTGCTGCACACTGGGGATGGAGCCCGCAACCTGGGCATGCGCCTTCCCAATTCATAGGTCGGAGCTTAACCACTGAACCAAGCCGGCTAGACAAGGGGTGGTTTTTGTTTTTGTTTTGTTTTTCATAAAGGATCTCCACTTTTTATTATTATTATTAAATGAAAGAGCCAAAACTGGTTTGGCTCAATGGATAGAGCGTCGGCTTGGGGACTGAAAGGTCCCCGGTTCGATTCCGGTCAAGGGCATGTACCTTGGTTGCGGGCATATCCCCAGTAGGGTGTATGCATGAGGCAGCTGATGATGACTCTCTCTCTCATCGATGTTTCTAATTCTCTATCTCTCTCCCTTTCTCTCTGTACAAAATCAATAAAATATATTTTTTAAATGAAAGAGATGCTGGGGGTGGGGGTGGGGGGGAGTTGATTGCTGTTTCTCCTTACTTTCAAAGGGAGTCTTTCTGCCTGGCTCCATTCATTCCCTTCCAAGGGCACGCTGGGGGGCGTGTCCACTCCTCCCTCCGCCCCACCCAAGCCCCGCCCCTCGCTTTGCCCGGATTGGCTCTCGAGAGGCGGGGCCCGGGGAAGAGCCCAGTCCCGAGTGGCGGGGGCGTGGCGCATGCGCGGGCTGGGAAGGGTGGAAGTGGGGAGGAAGAGCTGCCGGAAGTAGACGGCAGAGGTGGCGGCGGCGCGGCCGGCGGCTGCCCGGGAAGCGCTTCGCTGACGGGCAGGTCAGGCAGTCGTCTCTGCGCCTCGCTCCTGGGAGGCTCGAGGGCCCCCCTTGAATGGGCCGAGGGCCCCGGGTCCGGCAGCTTCCTCTGCCTTTGCCGAGCCCGCCAGGGGGCGCAGCGCCGAGGGGCTGCGGAGCGGCGGGCGGGCGCGGCTGACGCGCGGAGGGCGCGGGGCGGCGGAGAGTGCTGCCCCGCTCGGGACGTGCCCCCGGCGGGGGACCGGGAGCCTCCCCTCCTGACCGAGGCCAAGGTTTCTGGGGGTGAGGAGGGCGCGCCGCCCTCTGCCCCCGCCGGCCGGCACCCTGGCCATGACGGGCAAGTCCGTGAAGGACGTGGATCGCTACCAGGCGGTCCTGGCCAACCTGCTGCTGGAGGAGGATAACAAGTTCTGTGCGGACTGCCAGTCTAAAGGTAGCGTGACCCCCGCACTCCCACTCCCCACCCCCTCCCTCTCCCCTCCACCCCCCCCCGCCCCCGCCCCGGCGGCGGGGGGTCCTGCGGCTGCCGCGCCGCGCCCGGGATGGCTGTGTGGGCGCGGGTTTCTGGGGCTTAGGCCGCCCGAACCTCCTGAATGGCAACCTCGTGCTGCTCTGGCTGCTGAGCCTGCTAGGTGTTCTCAGCCCCGGATCGGTGCGAGGGGTTGCGAGGGTGAGTGTGCGTGTGTGTGTGTGTGTGTGTGTGTGTGTGTTGGGGGTGGTGATGGGGGTGGGGGAGTGGCATGGTGTGAGTGTGTGTGTGTGTGTGTTGGGGAGTGGTGATGGGGGTGGGGGAGTGGCATGGGGTGTGTGTGTGTGTGGAGGGTGTGTGTGTGTGTGTGTGTGTGTGTGTGTGTGTGTTGGGGGGTGGCGATGGGGGTGGGGGAGTGGCATGGGGTGTGTGTGTGTGTGTGTGTGTGTTGGGGGGTGGTGATGGGGGTGGGGGAGTGGCATGGGGTGTGTGTGTGTGTGTGTGGAGGGTGTGTGTGTGTGTGTGTGTGTGTGTGTGTGTGTGTGTGTTGGGGGGTGGGGGCTGGCGTGGTGTGTGCGGGGGAGTGTGCCTGTATTTCAGGGCTTTGAATGAGTTCTGGGCTGTCAAGCCAGAGGCAGCCCAGAGCTCACAGCCTTTTACTTGCCAAGCTGGGGGTGAACTGCAGTGTGTGTGACTGTGACAGAGGGGAGAGGGGGAGAGAAAGGGGGAGGGAGGGGGAGAGAGGAGGAAAGTGAGGTGAGGATGGGGAGGAAAAGTGCTTCAGTGATTTTTTAAAGGTGATGATGGTTGCTTCCGGCCTACTTGGTTAGCAGTTCCTTCTGTCATTTCACCGGCAGCTGAGGGCTGACCGTGCTGAGGTGGCTTTCCTATGGATGTGTGCCGTGGGGAGCTGCCTTATGCAGTGACACAGTGCGGATTTCTAGGCAGCCTGGCCTTGGCTCTGGAGTGCGGTTGAGGCCTAATGTGTATGTGGTGGCAGAAGCCAGGGTGGCCTTCGTGCAGGATCCGTGTCATCACGGGAGAGAAGGAAGCAAGGGGTGCATTGAGTTTGTTGCTTCCATGGTGATCACCCTTCCAAAGGTGAAACATGATCATTATAAATTGGCAGAGCCGTTGGGTCTTTGTTTTCTGTGTCCTCAAAGACTCCTGGTTTGATCCAATTAAAAATCAGTATGATAAAAAGCATGGTTATTATTATAGTGAAATGTTTGCACTTGAAATGTACAGATACAAGTGTCTATAAATATTTTGTTTCCTTGTTATCTTTCTGAATTATTTGGAATATAATTAGAGGAGCTGGGAAAAATGTTTTCTTTGGTAGGGGGAGAGATATAGTTGTATTTTGGGAATTATTGTTAATTTACTTCTGTTCATCGTGCAGTGGATTTGCCATCTAACATATTGGGCATACAGTATACAAGAAGTATTCAAATGTATTTGTATTGATCAATATTGACAAGGGAAGTGTATGCGTAATTGATGCTTTCACTAATTACCTTTTGTTTTATTTATTTATTTATTTTAAAAATACATTTTTATTGATTTCAGAGAGGAAGAGAGAGGAAGAGAGAGATAGAAACATCAACGATAAGAGAGAAGCACTGATTGGCTGCCTCCTGCGCGCTCCCCGATGGGGATTTAGCCAAAACTCAAGTTTGTGCCCTGATCCCTGACCCCTGACCCCTGACCGGGAATCTAACTGTGACCTCCTGAACCACGCCAGCTGGGCTAATTACCTTTGATTTTAGAAAAATAAGGTTATGTGAGGAGAACAGGGAGATGACACATTGATACTACTAGACACCTACTAGCAGTAATATATTTTAGTGTCCTCTACCTATAGATAAATGTGTCATTAGGAGAGCAAGTCCTTAGCCTTTTTCTGAATTTTTGCATTAGCAAGAATTCATTTTCAAAAGCACTTTAGAATCAGTTTATGTTGAGTAGGTTAATTTCTTAAAGTTGACTCTTGCTAGATTTTGTCCTAAATCTATTAGAAGATTCTGTTTAAAATTTGGGAGCGTACCTCTTGATTTTATTCAAATTCCCCTCTGTCCTTGGTTGACAGATCTCGAGTGAAGCAACCCAGTGGAGTGAGCCTGCTACATTTGGGGAGTCAGATGCCATTGATGATTAGTAACGCCCCCACCCCCCATTTGTCATACTACTCTTTTTTATTTATTTTTTATTTTTTTATAAAGGTATTATATGTGTACATATCTTACCATTGCCCTCACACTCCCATACATGCCCTCACCCTCCAATGTACTACTCTTTTTTTTAAGGAATTTTTATAAAGTTATTTATTGAAGTTTTTTTTTTTAATTTGTCTCTTTTGTTGAAAGTATTACAGATGTCCCCTTTTCTCCCTATTGACTCCCCTCTTCCCCATCATACCACTCTTGTTCTTACTCATATTCCAATAAAACAGAGCATATGGAAGAAAGAGGTTGATTCACCACTTCTCCAAATTTTCCTTTGCTCTTTATCAGTAGCATTAACTGGGGATCAGGTAATGAAACATTAGTTAATTCTTAATGAGAACTAGTAAATGATGGCTTGTAGACCTTATTAACTGGTGTTGATGGTAGAATTCAGGTTCATAAAACTATTTCTTTTCACAAGTTAGTTTAACAATTTGGCTTGGTGGCTTCAGTGACGTGGCCATAATATCGAAATTGAGATGGCAAGATGTCAGTCATCTTTCAATTCAGGTAAATGAGACACTTGTTTATGATCAGGCCTCAGTTTACCCAGCTTGTGAATTATCTAAACCCTCCACTATTTCAGCCCCTCTCACTCATTTTCCTCTTCCTTTTTCCTGGGTTTGGTTGTCATAATGATCATGTGAACAGCTGTCAGATGGTGGAAAGAAAGATTTGCAATCACTAGGTTATGTTGCCTGTTAGCTGAGTGGGAAGAGGAATTTAAAAACTGTTGGCTAAAATGAGACTTGGATGTGAGCTTATCTCTGTGTACTTTCTTACTTAGAAAATTGAGAGCTAACTGGGTCCTCAAAGATTTATGGTTTATCCAATTAAAAATCAGTGAGTGATTGCTAATCCAGATAGCCCTGGACTGCAGACCTGTGAGCAGGTATTTTTGCAATGTCCAAAAATAATAACTCTTTGGCAATGAATCTCCTTTTTAAAACCTTATACTTATTTAAGAATGTTATCTTTAGATACACAATTTAAACAGTAGAAAATGTGTTCTCTTTATGTAATACACGTTTTTGTTAGTCCTGCATTTTTTAAAAATCTCTTGAGTACAAGACTCACCAGTTTCTGGTTCCTCTAAGGCACAGTGAGAAAGGAAGCTGATTTGGCACTGCCTTAAAAAAAATGTATTGTGACTCGCTATAGATCCAAAGATGTGGTTTCCTCACCATCTCAAATCTTCAAGTTACTGTGACCTTCAGATTAAGTTTTTTTGGATTGACCTAAGCAGTAGTGGTAGAACAGAGGACAAACATACAGAAAATTCCAGGCATGTCAATGATAACTCTGCCTAGTTAAGGCTGGGTCCTATCTTTGCATACACCCTTGGTGGGGTCTTACTGGTCCAAGGTGTAGTCTTTAGCTCTGCAGTTTCATGTTTTATCAGTGAGCCAGAAATAACTCTTTATTGACCTCTTCAGAGACTGGTCTAAATTAGACACTATCTTATTTACCATGAAAGGATCTACCTTTCTGATGACCTGAATACTTGTGTCGCTCTTGGGACACTCCTTTCTCAATATCAAGGCTCGTAAAAAATTGAGAGCTGTATAATGAGCAGAGATTAAGCAGAAAGAAATTGCATGGTCTTGAGAAATATTTACTTCATACTCTGAAGCACCACCTGGGATTCTGGAGTCTGACAGAAACTTTGTAATATTTTTTACTTTTCTCTTCTGCTGCATCATCCTATCTCTGAAATGTTTCACCTTGAATCACCTAACCATTGCATCTGGTTCAATTCCCATTATATATTCTTAAATTTAAATGTACCTATTGAAAAAGGTAGCACTTGCATGTGGTTCAAAATTCAAAAGGTCTAAAGGGGAATGTGTACAGTGAAAAGTTGTGTTCCTGTTCCTGATTCCTTAGTCACCATTTTCATTCCTGGGAGTAACCACTATTGGTAATTTCTATTGATGACTTTTAAGATATAATCTATATGCTGAAACCGGTTTGGCTCAGTGGTAGAGCATCGGTCTGCGGACTGAAAGGTTCAGGTTCGATTCCGGTCAGAAGCATGTACACTGGTTGCAGACACATCCTTGGGATGTGCAGGAGGCAGCTGGCCCATGTTTCTTTCTCATCGATGTTTCTAACTGTATTCCTCTTCCTTCCTCTCTGTAAAAAATCAATAAAATATATTTAAAAATAATAATAAGATATAATCTATGCATAGATAACTACATTTAAATATATTCCTAAACAGTGCTTTCATGCAAAAAAAAAAAAAAAAAAGTAGGCATTACCTCCACTTAATGGCAGCTTGCATTGTTCTTTTAAATTATTATTTTTTAAAAAATATATCTTATTGATTTTTTACAGAGAGGAAGAGAGAGGGATAGAGAGTTAGAAACATCGATCAGCTGCCTCCTGCACACCTTTCACTGGGGATGTGCCCACAACCGAGGTACATGCCCTTGACCGGAATCAAACCCAGGACCTTTCAGTCTGCAGGCTGACGTTCTATCCACTGAGCCAAACCGGTTTCGGTTTAAATTATTTTTAAATGTATTTTTATTGATTGATTTTAAAGAGAGAGAGAGAGAAACATCGAATTGTTGTTCCGCTTATTTCTGCATTCACTGGTTGATTCTTATATGTGCTGTGATCTAGAATCGGACCTGCAACCTTGGCATATTTGGCCCATGCCCTAACCAACTGAGCTTCCTAGCCAGGCCTGCACACTTGCATTTTTCAGCCAATAGTATAACACGGGGAACA